TCAAAATGTTATATTCAAAATTAGTCACCTTCCAATAGTGACATCTAACTCTAGCACCAATATACATCACTATTGGGAGGTTTAACTTTGTATACTAGTAGAAGGCGTCACAATTGCACACATGCATCAAACCGCTTTCTACTAGAGGTTGAATGCTGTTTTGCACAAGCTTTTGGTAGGGATCTATCTTGTACATAACATTGATTTTGGTAATATGGTTATTTAGACTTCCACAAAAGTCCATCCTCTCATTAAGGTGAGAGTACTAAGGCTGTCATGACATGTCATATATATATATATATATACACGCACCATATACATATGTTGTAAAATTATTCTCGATTCACCGGATTTGGATATATGAGGAACAAGATGGAAATAGAATGTGTGTGAGTGTGTTATCATTCTTAATGTTACTCATTATTTCTGAACTTGCAGCACCTTCTGGCATCTATATAAGCTCCAATGTCTCCTAAGTCTTGTGCAATCCAAAGTCACTAGATTCATCGTGTCTCTTATCGAAAGAAGGTAGAGGGCCGAGGACCCCAAGTGTCAACAAACTTGTTTGATCGAAGCCTGAAGGTTTACAGGCATCAGCTCTTCCTGCACTGACAGTATCGCAGTCTCAACCGACATTAACTGAGGGCCAAACCACACGACCGGTAGCGGCAGCGAATCCCCGCTTGTTATTGGCACCCGAGGTTCCCCCTTTACCACACGGGAGGGAGCGGTAATTTGATATATCCTAGGTGGCAAAGAAATCGACTTCTCAAAACTACCAGGCACTTCCGACTGGAAATCCGGTTTTTCCGGAATATATAGACTCCACGTGTACTTTCGCGCCTTCCTGGGTTACTCTTCCAAAGACTTCTCACCGCTGCGCTGCAATTAGTAACATATTTTTCCCTTTTCACTCCAAAGGCACTACCGGTAGTGTGGTAGAGGTTATGGAATTCTCTCCAGCTGGCCAACTTAGGCCTACGAAAACCTGGTTTTCTTATAGCCAGGAGCTTGGTGCCGGCTGACGGTAGTGTGGTAAGGCCCTGAAGCAGGAAGGTCCGAGGATTTCGCTCCGCTCCTTACGATGTGGCCGTTCTGCCTACTGCTAGTCAGTTTCAGCCCCTGCATGTCGGTCAGTTTAGTGCAACTTGCTCTATTGTACAGCCAGCAATAACTAACGATGTCCAAATCGTGGAATTCGGAGTTCTGCCAAAAAACACTAACGTCACAGTCACTGGATCTGGATAAATATAGGTATGTACAGTGTACATGTCTCGATGGATGGCTGGCTGGCAGAAAGACTAAAAAATACCATTGGAATATGGTCTGAAAGTTGGAGGGGAGACGGAAGAAAAATCCTTGTGGCATAGCATCCAAAAAGCGATTACTGGACAGTTTAGTAGATGAACTGATGATGCAGGTAGTCGCATTATCAAATCAGTTGAAGGAAATAGTTCAGCTGCATCATCGAGGATTCAGGATTCAGGGCACTCCCCGAAAAGCCGACCAGGTCTGAGGAATACAAAGATGGAAGACCTGGCAGCTTTGGGTAAACACTAGGTTTGGCGACGAAGGGATTGATCAATTAGAAGATGGATGAAGCTGCTTATGATTCAACATCGAGGTTTAGAGATCGCATTCGAAGTATAGAAAAGTTGAGAAAATATGGATGTTCTTTAAGCACATGCCGACTGGAGAAAGATTGATGGCTACATCATAGACTTTTAAGAAGCAAGCAGGTGAAGGCTAAAAGGGTTGAGTAGTAAAAGGGATGCTCTAAAAGCAAATGCCTGAACAGTTACAGAAAGATTGACGAATTTGACGATTATTATGGAGGAAGTTCTTGCAAGGTTTTCCAAAATTTTGGAGCCAATAAACGAGAGAGCATTTGATATGCATCAGCTACTGAAGGAGATGTAAATAAAAATGTGAGATTGACATCTTGGCTAATCATACCTGCAAATTCGAATTGAAAGGGAGATCAAATCAAGGGAGATTGATGTCTGGTATTAACATACATGCAAAATCAAACCAATAGGAAGATAAAAACAAAGGGAGATCAACATGTTGGCTTCCATACATGCAAATTCAAATCGATACGGGCATAAAAATAAAACTAAGAAATTTGTCTAGTCTTACAATACTTGCAAAATCAAAGAAACACCAAATAAGAGTATATCAAAGTATATAGGGGTAGTTGTACAACTTGTACATATTACAAGGAATAGGGCGATCAAAATAAACAGATCTACTTCTAGGTTTACAAGAAGTGTACGTTCAAATCAAGAGAACTCAATGTCTAAATTGACTCAGTGAAATTGATGAGACTTATGAAAAGTTGAGGCTGGACTTAAAGCAAGATGAAAATGAGATTCCAACATTGAAACTTATTTTATTGGTAGGATTAGGACAGCAAAATCCAACGGCCATGGCCACGGTAAGAAAACATGAGAAAAGTTGGGCCATATTGAATGCGTCAATACGGGCGGAATGAAATATATATGAGTAGGAAGAACTATATGATAATCAAGCAATAAAAAAAATATTCACGAACAATCCATACTTAAGTTGCAAAATCACTGCCCAATCTAGATATAATGTAATATGTTTGTGTAAACTTATGAGGATTGAATATTAAAATGTTGATTGATTTTCATGAAAGTCACTCATCATCACTAACATCTAAATGGCATATGTACATGAAATTGATGAAAGACTTTTTCCAACTCATGGAGACTTAATACATTGACACATGTTTCTTTTCTCATAAAAGTGGACATGATTTTAAATTAAGTGGAAAATATATCCAAAGAGACACAAAAAGGAAATAACAGCTATAGTAATAAGTGAGACATCAATTCATAAAAAGATAATTGTTTCTATACTATGACGAGTATAAATCAAAAGGTAAGATAAGACAAGAAAGAAAGAGTGAAAAAAGCAACATAGAAGACTTGAGAATAATAAATATGATACAAAAGAAAATTGTGTTATATGTTTTTAAAGAAATCAATATAATTAAGAAATTTTAATCATATATCAATAATGATAATATTGATAATGAATAAATCACGTAGTTCATAATTTCAAAACTTAATTGAATTTAGAAGAAAATTATAGTTCAATTTATGATAACAAATTTTAAAAACTTTGAAATTGAATTTCTACAAGTCAATAAATTTTCAACTTCTCTCAAAAAATGCAAACAATTTTTTTATAAATTATTGCTATAATTTGCAAAGTAGAAATCTTTCAAAGTAAAGTAATCTACAGTTTAAGTATGCAGATTGAGACCAAGAAGATTTTGCGTACTTAACGGGGAGGTGCTTACTTAACACACAAGTACTTTCATAGCAAGGTCCGGGATGTCACTTTGAAATCTGAAGTCGGATGTGGGAGAATGCGGGTCTAGTTTGAACTAGCGCGTATAAGAATGGATATTCCAACAAATTTTGCTTCTACATACTTTGTATGTCTTCTATCGTTGAAGAAGCTCAACCTTTTAAGTTTTTTCTCTTACATCAAAATCAGTGAAGTATATATATTCCTGGAGTCTAGTGAGTTCCCCTTTGCATCATGAGACTACTTCAACTTTAAGTACATGTCAAGCAGCAGAGAAAACAAGTTCCAGAAGGGATTCTAATTTTTTATTATTATCTTTGGAGTTGCCTTAGTTGAAACGCAAGACAAAAATTCATGACATGATGAACCAAATATTAAGACAGCCTCAAATTTCATAAAGAATGTGAAATTAGCAATGAAAATTGTTTGTGGTAAAAATTTTATACAAACACAAAGTAAAGAATCGACAAGAAAGTTGCAAACTTTAGTTGTGTCTTTGAAGTGATTTGCAGTTGTATCAGGATCAACATTTTTTAATGCCAAGCTTCAAATCCTGTGGTCAATTGCCCATTTATTCTCAAAAACTGCTCATGAACGTGAGTTTTTGTATCAAGGCCAGGACTTACACACTCCTTCCTCTTTTAACTTGTAAAATAATTTTGTAATGGTGCAGAAACCCGAATATGTTCTGTTGAATGCTACTTAATAGTATTGACTCCTACCGTGCTCACATGGAAGATACTTGTAAAGTTTACACGGATATTTAATGTTTACATTGTAAATACTAAACTTGATCCATGTCTTTTTTTAAAAAAAGCGTAGTTATCCGGTTCGCGTACATAATTGATGCATACTTAATTAGTAGTTTATTATAATGATATTATAATGTCACTAAGCATTATAATTTACACATTCTAAAAATAAATACCGGAAAAAATTAAAGACATGAAGAGTAAAATCTAAAGATTGTTTTCAAGTAAAATACATCAGAAATACATATTTGGCCCAAAAAGAATAACACTCTATGTTATTAAAACAGTTGAAAATGTTGTGTATAATATGTCCAAAATTTGTACTAAATCTATCAAATTTTGTATCTTTTTTTTTGAAGGTAATAGATTAGATCAATTTCAATGTATGTTGATTTAATTTGGAATGAAATCTAAACATATTCAATGTTTTCCTTGGAAAAGAACATTTTAAAATGATTTTTTTTCATTTACAAATGTTTTTAAATTTATTTTAAAGTGAATGGCTTCTAGTTTTTTTTTTGTAGAAAATGCAGGAGAAACTTGACTACTAAGAAAATTTGTCAATTGCTTCTTGCTTAACCATGAATGCGCATGATCGTCATCGAGATTCCAATGGGGAGAATTTTTTTTCATCCCTATGTCACGGAAAGGTTGAAGATGCTGCAAGTGAAATGCATCCATTGCGAGAAATCCATGTTTGATTGTTTGATAAATTGTAGTACACATCTGTTGAAAAGTGTATGCCCACTCAAGACTATAATCTTGCTCCACTTGTTCACACAACAACGTTTAGGGTTTAAGTTTAGGGTTGATGTATGCAGCGGTCCCTTCGCCTTCCAAGTTCGCTGGAACCTCAAAGGGTATTTATGTGTTCCTTTCTATCTTATAATAAACTTATTGTTTCCCACAGTTTTCCTTTGTGTTCATTTTATCACCATTTGTCGAACTATCAGTCTGCAAACGGGCCAAAACTGGCGTGTTGGAGCTATAGTCGGCCATGACATCGACAATCACAATTCTCTCCAAGGCGGTAGTCATGAAACCTTCTATAGCCAAACTATTGGACATCAAAGTGTACCCATCTCCGACATCAATTGAGAAGGAAATGCTGAACCAATTGATGATTACGGCCTTGTATGAGGTCGCGTGCCCTTTAATTACTTCGATCACCTGACATGGTAGACGTTCTTGCAGGTGGCCATGCTATTCACGAAGCCGCAAATCCGACAGCAATTGACATCATCTTGTTGCGCAATTGCCATGACATCCAGTTGGCCATCATGTATAATTCATTGGCCAATGCGGTGGCGATTGTTCGAGGATTGGACGGGGCAACCAACATCATGAACAAAAGCAAGTCAAATCTGCTTGCCCACTATCCACTGCCTTGATTCCTTGGCTGTTTAATGGCGGATTTCAAGAAAGAATGTTGTCGACGTGATCAATGAATTCGAGGCCAAGTTGCAACGTCCAAGAATCGTTTTGGCGTCCATCTCTGATTTATGTAACGTTATGCATGCGCTGCGTCGTTTTTTGCAGAACAACAATATCGTCAAATGGATGTACGGATGCGGCGTGCATCCAATGAACAATTTGTTACAGGATTTGCCCAAAATACATCCGTACAAGGCACATCTGAAGGAAGCATTATTCGTAAGCAAATCCATCAAGAACAAGGGTCTGCTAAGCAAGATGTAGAGCTTGTTGTGCGAGGTCCGATTGGGTAAGATACTCTCCACGATGCTATTTTCACCGTCACGTTGAAGCATCGTCAATGTCATGTTCTGCCGCTTGAAACGAGCCAAATGTCCGAAACAAGATCTGTTTAGCGCTTGTGATGACAACAAGAAGGAACTTGGCATCGACTTGATCTTTGAGTTGGACGACGTCTTTTCCACGATTGTCCAATCTCCTACGTTCTTGAGAAATAATGACCGTTGCGTGACTCTCTTCTATTCAATATGCAAAACGCTTGAAATTTTGGAAAGCTACACATCTACCATGTCCACCGTTTATGTCGCGTTTGTTTACGTTTGCGTGCAATTGGCAAACACATTTTTTGATGAAGATCGCATCCACGCGTTTAAGCGTCTAGAATACCGATGGGGTACTATTTACTCACATGTGCAAGCGTTGGTTTTCGTTTGCAATCCATTCTACTCCCAATTTTGAAAAAATGTTACCGCCATGCATGGGTACTCTTCGGTTGAGCTCGAGATGGGCGATTTACATGCTCAAGCTTGCAAGACCATCCTACTTATGTATCATAACGACAAGAACGATTATGTGAATGTGATGGCGGAATTCATGGCATTCAGCACCACTAAAGAACAGTTTTTCCTCTTGCTCAATGGCATCATAAAGTATCACCCTCGTCTAATCTGGGGCCAAGTCCAGAACCAATATTGGCCGCCGTGCTCATGATAGTATACACGGGGAGTGGATCGTCGGCAGTGTCGAGCGCCAACACAAGGTGATAACCGTGTGCACTGTGCTCGTAAAAATTGTCTTGGCAAAAGCAAGGTCGTGTAAAAAGTTTCTGTTGCTTACAATTCTGCCGTAGCTCGTGGTCAGTTGTACTCCCAGCATCATCCTTGCTCACATTTGTCGTCAAGACGTCGCATTGGTAAATGCCGTACCAGACGAGACGATCACAGCGGAGCAGCGATTCGATGTGCATTTCGACACTCACGCTGAAGACCACCTTGACCTAGATCCGATCTGCTCACAGATGCAGAGTTGAAGGAGCAAGAGAAGCTGCGACTACTTTCTGATAGTATGTGGACATTGGCCAATATGAGTTGCTCAATTAGATGGATGAACACGGGTGATACTTGATTAACATGATCATTGATCACTAAGAAGTACTTAAGTATTCATTATGCCTGTTTTTTTAATATATATGTATTTCTGAGTTTCAGCATTATTTTAAAATCATTTTAAAACGTTTCAAAATGCTTCAACGTAAAATCGTTTAGAATATAATGTTTCAATGTGGAATAGTTAGTTTTTAGGCTGAGACAGTGCATGTTGGGAAAAAAAAATTCAGTAAATACCAAGCGCAACAAATAATCTTAAAAAGTATCTTAGCATGAAAATGATAAACAGAATACGTTATCATGTATGAACGATGTTAGAAGTCACGTCAAGTCTTGGTCATTTACAACTGAATTGAATATTACAGGTTTATGTCAATGACCGCAAGTATCGTGGCACAACTAGCTGTTCCCACGGATTATTGATTCGTCCATGCGTAGCTTTGAAAGTATTGAATCGTGACATTTCCTCATGTCGGTGAAACTTATTGTTGGGGCCCAGCAATTCCGGTGCTCCCTTTTCTCCCAGCTACTCATTCTAACACGGGAGGAAGAGACTCATCGGAAATGCGGGCAATAGAGCGCAATCATCTTCCACTAAGGCGAACCCCATAGTCACAAGTGTGCCAAAGTGGCGCGGGGAACAAAGGGCGAGTTGTTTTGCAGTTGTCATTCTGTCATCGACGGAGACATCCCTCACTCCGCTGTACGTTCCAACAGCGAACCTCCGCAAACACAGTTCATCAACAATGGAACCGACCTTAACGAATGCCATGTCACGATCTGCCAGACAGCCGGGACTGCCACGGCAAACAAACGTGTGTCGGCAGCGAAAACGGATCTTCCGCCTGGAGAGTCCATAACTCCTTGTACTTCGGACTGCACTTCGTACTGGTTGCCAGCTCCCACGAACAGTTGTCTCCCTTTCTGTTGTGAGGGCTTGTTGCCTCAGGCCCGTCACTTCATGAGCAGGTTATATGCGTTGCGTTCACAGAGAATCGCTAGATGGTGATGTACCGGCCGAGGTAGACTTTCCATAACTGGTGGAATATTGGTGAAACCTATGTTGAGGGTGTAATATGTTTATTATACAGGCATTTCTGAAATGGGCATCAGGGTTTGATTGACCAGAGTTAGGGTTATGATAGGCCGCTCCTGCAAGAACAAAAGGTCTTTCTCCAAAGTTTCAACGCACCGACCATCGGGAGTTGGCGAGCCTTGAAGAGTTTCAAGGAGGCACGAGAGGGTAAATGCCACTAGCCCATTAGGGAGGAATGAGGTTGTCCGAGTGTTGAAAGGCGCCTTCTGATACAAATTTCGAAAAGTTGCCATCTGTACATCTTTGACAGCGTTCAAGAACTGATACTACATTGTGCGATTCTCAAGCACATGTTGGGTGCTGTACGAGTAACAGTCCTATTCAGGAACACCTAGGAATAATGAGAAGGTGTAGTACCGTCTGTGGATTTTGAGCTACTCCGCGGTCGATGGCCAATGTATTATACGGAGCTTTGTACCAGTATGATCTGTACACGGTCCCCATTACGACTGGTAAAGTCCACCAAAGTTCTTCCCCCTCCTAAACCTGCCGAGAGGGTAGACAGAGAGTCTTCCAACAGCTGTCGAATGTTCACGCCTGCGAAAACTGTTAAAAGACGAACAGTTCAGTTTCATCCCCCACCAGCGAGCAGATAACGCAGAGCAACCGGCAAAGCCCTGAAGGCTTTGCCAACCTAGAACTCGAGCAGATTCCAGCGGATGGGAGAGAATGAACGGGAATGAAACTGCTCGTAAGGTCTCTCTCATGAAGCTAAGCTCAAATCCCTCAGGGCTTGGTAACAATGACCTGATCTGACAGCTGGTGAGGCAGATAAAATAGAAACATAAGGACCGGGCAACGGTATACGCAGAACTTACCAGGAATGTTGCTAGCCAAAGGCTCTAAGAACCAAGCCTGCCAACAACCATTAATGACAAGCCCGAACGTCAGGAGAACATACTTTGCAACTACTAGTAAACCCATATACAAAGTGCTTCACAACTCCAAACAGCAAAACCTCTTCGCCGAGATGAAGGCAAGGCAACCTTGAGTGTAGAGATATTCCTAGTTTTTTAACGACGTCACTGGCTGGGAATAATGCAGTGACAGCGCTCCAATGGACATAGGTGAGCTACTTTAGTTCGTACGCTTAACCATGCTAAAGGATAAGGGAAAGCACACTAACTCCAGGTAGCTCTAGTCTTTGATAAAGTGCTACGATCCAAAATAAACTTAGCAAGGTACAGAACATTCTGTTCACTGAATGATTACTTACTGGAATCTCCATATCAAGCTTTACGCCACCATCACGGCCTGTGATTTTCACTCGCAAATAACGAGATGAGATGAACTGTAAAGTCTCAACACCATACCCTCGGAAGTCCTCTTGGTCCCCGCCTGTTTTCACCGAATTTGTTTCTATGTCTACAACCTCGGTTTCCTGTAACTCCGCTACAACCTCGGTTTCCTGTGAGTCCGCAGCTATTTATATCACCATACGCACTTGTCAATAATAGAACGCCCAAGCTCGGCCATACTCAAGGTGCAGAGTTTAGAAGATGTGGCTGCTTCAAACTAACAGAATCGCATGCCAAACTGCTGACGTACGTTCACAACGTGTACAAAGTCATCATCGCAAACTGCATGCTACCATGACTACCGGCATATTCCAGATTGACAAAACTGAATATAATTTCCTGTAATCTATCTCAACAATTATTTCCGAGGATAAGGAAGTGACCAGACTGAGCAGTGGCTATCTTTGGTCTGACTTGCCATATTGTCTCTCTTCTTTGTAACATTTTTCAACGCCTAGCATGTATTTCAAATCGTCAAAGCACGGCAGCTTCTCGTTTGAAGGTATCTGGCCATCTTTCAGCCCTCTCAACGCCTCCTAAACACAGAAGCGGCGACTCAAGTATTAAATTTGGCCCACAGACGGAATTGATCCTTGCCATGGTCAACATTTTTCCCAACAGTAAACCATCGGGTTTATAAAGGTCAGTACACAAGTAAGTAAAGCACATCTCAAGGCACTGCCCCCGCCCGACAGGTTTTGGGGTCTGGTGTAATATATGTGTAGAGAAGAAAATGCGAGATTTTCTGGATCCGAGTTATTCCACACAACTAGACTCGACCTTAGGTTACAGATAGCTTATGCAAATTCTTGATTTTGACGCTTCTCGTTTCCTATCGCTTTCTATTTTCCTCATCTGCGTTTCCTTGATATCCTTCTGGCAAAAAAGAATCGGGGACCAAGTAGGTAATAAAAAAGGATGAGAATACCCCATCAAGCGTACAAGGAAGACAAGAAACGGAAACCAACGGCTGGGCCCCAACAGTTCTGGCAGCTCTGTGAACAAACGCATTGCTGGGATGATGCAAGCAGAAGCGTTCGCTAAGCATTTGGGTTACTTTGCTGGAAAGTCCAATGATTAATCGTCAAAAATCAGAGGGTTATCAATAATAAGGTTCTGCCTTAAAAAACAAAAATAACTTATCACTCATGACTGGCAGAATGTCATAACTTACAGTTTGCTTCAAAACAAAAAGATAAATATATCCCAAAATCTGTCACTGTGATAACGCTATCAATAGGGTCATACAACAACGAGTGGAAGGACGTAGTGAGGAATTTTCAATTTGAGAACTAGAAGTTCCGCAAGAGCATAATCTCCTGAATCAAATTCCTTAAATAGAGACTTTCTTCGCTCTAAAATACGTCTCTCCCTCTTCTTCCTCCTTCACAAGGAATGTCCAGCCACAGGAGTTCCTTGAATCTTTCGATTATAAGGATGTGACAGACACTTTCAAATGAGTAAAATATGGACCGGCACTGCCGGACTCCAGAGACTGACGTATAGCTCGTAGGGTAAGAACCGTGAACGACACTGCTGTACTGATCCCCTCTAAAGACTTCGGGGGCAAGAGGTTCATTTTGAAGTCTTGTCATATATACAATGAGGATGCATTCAACGGTACACAGAAATCGTAGTCCATGATCCGCTCAAGAAGACAAGAGAACAGACAACTATGGACAGGAGGGCAAAGAAGAGGACCAAAAGCATTGGACAGAGGCACTGGAGCAAAAGATCACAAGAGAAACTCGGCCATTTGACATCAATCCAAAAACACATAACCACGAAGAGCGGCCTCTTTGTGAACATTAGAAGCATACAGTCATACTGTCATGCAGTCATTCGTTCAATCAATTCTTGAGAGAGTAATCTAGAAAAGAAGTTGGGTATTTCAGTAGAAAATTTAGTTAGTAAAGGCTTGCTAAAGAGGCAGGAGTGGGGCAAGCCATTGCTTGAAGTACCTCCATAGCCTGCATGGCGACCCCGATCAAAGAAAGAGGATACGCAGCCAGCTTGAAGCCTAGGGCGTCGAGTTGTTTTTTGTCAAGTATTGGTGTACGACCTCCACCTTCCAGCATGTTAGCCTGCAACAAGATCCAGGAAAGTAAGATGAAGAAAAGAGCAGTGTGAATCCTCTTTCCATGTAATCCTCATTGAACATATTTACATCTATTCAAATGCAAGTGACAAAGTTTGCAGCCAACAGTTTGTGCTAGGCATGATAGCAAGGAGTTTGAAGAAAGAGATTACCATTTTCCACTTTCCTGGAGCAATCTGACAGAATCTTTCCATTTCTTCTTCTGTAGCCAGAGCATCTATAAAGAGCACATCTGCTCCCAAATTCCCGAACTCCTTCACTCTCCATAAGGCTTCATCTAATGATTCAGCTTGGCGAGCATCCGAACGTGCAATAATAACTATGTCGGAATCTAATTCGGTTCTTGCATCTACAGCTGCTTTAATTCGCGTCAAAGCGTCTGCTCTTGATACAACCTTCTTTCCACCAAAGTGACCACAAGATTTTGGTGATTCCTGTTGAAAAAAAGTCAGCTTGAGGTCAGATCATTACTGTTCATAACCAAGAGCCTGAAGACATTGTGGAGGACTATTTGAGACATTAACCACAAAAGCAGATGCGAGTTGCTGCGAAGAACCAAGATGTACAAGTACGGTAGACGATGATCATAATCATCTAATTTGGAAGGCGATTGTCAAACACAGTGAAAGTATGCCATAGTAAGAGTGACCACCAACAGGGAAACGGCAGGTCTGATATATTAGACCTGGAGAAATGAGAAAAGGAAAGTCGAAAACTGCGTGGGGAGAAGGCATTAAAGAACACTCCAGTTTGCGGAAAAGCAAACTGGAGCATAGATCCCTGCACGAATGTTTGCTAAACGAAGTCCTGAACCCTCCAGTCTATAGCTCACAGACCAAGCCATTCCTAATTCGTCAGTTTCTGTCACAGCCCAAAGTCCATGGTTAACACGCCTTGGGTGAGCGGTACTAGTACAAAGAGATTGAGTCCTTGGGGTAACGACGCGATGGAAGCAGGAGGAAAACGTGAGAAGAGGTTATCTTATAGAACAAATGAGACGAGAAATGAGTTTAGTTCGGAGTTTCCAGGATCAGCCAGGAGATCAAATCCAAACTCAGCGGCCTCAAGACTATGATGCGTTCGAAACGAAGACTCAAAAGCGCGGCTGCTTTGGGGTTGAATGAAGGCAGGTGAGTTGTGTAAACTCCACCAGCAAAAAGATGATGGAAAATATATTTGCTCTCATGTTAGCAAAATGACAGGAGGATGAATCCCATTAGATAATGAGCAGGATCTTTGTCCTACTTGTCACACTGTGCGAGTTGCGAGAGAGTCCAATTCTGTCTTTTGCTGCGACTGAGGGAAGACACCCGAGGCAGAACTTGAAGTTTACTAATGCCGCCAAACAGGGATCATCCTGGAGAAAGTGCTGGAAGATGACGGGTTCTTGGTCTGTCGCTGAAAACTCAAGGGGGGCTGCTTCGTTTGAGATAAGTGTACTCCCAAGGACGATATTCTTGCCCTAGCAATGTCCAGCACGTGACTCGCTTACCTGTGACAACGAAGTGAACAACAAAATACAGTTTAGGAAAAATACGCGAACCTGATCCTCAATGATTATTCCAGCGAACCCAGCCTGAATGAATCCTTTGACTGTTCTCTTCACGTTGAGGACACCGCCATATCCGTTATCTCCATCCCCAATTATTGGGATGGAAACAGCTTGGGTGATGAGGCGGCCCTGATCGAGAACCTCCCCATAAGACAGGAGTCCCATATCTGGCGCCCCTAGTCTGGCAGCTGAGACTGCAAAGCCTGCAGACAATGAAACTCCAACAAGTCAACGAACTATAACCATCATCCCGTCTCTGTCCCAGTCTCGATTGTGACTGTAAGGCATCGTATCATAATTATGATCATATCCAAATTCAATCCTGACTTCTGTGTGAGCAGGATCCACTATATGGTGATCTTCATCTCCTAGCCGTTTCTTCAGTTCACGTGATTTCCTTGTTTCTTCTGGGTTTTGTCTGAAAGTTTTGTCTCTAAATTGTCACATAAAAGAAAGCGAGAGTCACTGAATTGCAACACATTGCTCTGCACAATACGACAATATGAGGTAGAACACGGGAAGGATTGATTCTTTGTACCCCTCACGTTCAGCTTCGTAACACTTGTTGAGGCTTTGAAATTGTGGCAAATGAGATAAACAGTAAGAATGATCCACGAGACCGACAGTGGAGCAGTTTCAATGGGCAAAGTACAGCGATGCAGAAAATGCAGAAAATCAGGAAAATTACGATCCAAAAATGCAAAGGGACAAAACGATGGAGCAGAGGTGAGTTTGCAACCTTATAAAGCACAACTGCAAACAAAGCATGAAACCGTGCAGAGCATTCTGCGAGCTCCAAATTATGGTGGGATAAGGTGACTGACCGCCCATAAAAGCATACTCGAATCCAGCCTGCTCCACGAGCCTGGCACTCAAACCGTCGAAACATGCAGGCGCTAGTTGCACACCGGGCTTGGCCAGAATCTCCCTCAAACGTGCGGCCTGACTTTGTGTCTGTCGAGGAATATACGACGCTGCCCGTGTGAAATCAACACGGTGATATCCTCCGCGTTCGACAACTGACTTCAAATTAGTATGTACACTCCACAGGGAATCATTGCGACTTAAGGAACCTAGATTTCGCTGCAACCGTGTATGACTAAAAGTTTCAATTCTCCCCCACAATCCGACAGCCTCGCTTCTCCCTACTATGAGACCTGACGAAGTCGCACATCCCGGAGGCAAATTCTCCAATTTCGGCAAGCTGCTTGACAGGTTTAAAGACCGAATCGCGGCCATGTTACGACGTCCTCCGCTGGTCACTCTGCCTCGAGCGACTAGTCCCTGGAATTCCAGCGCGCTACAAAGCCCTCCATAAGCCTTTGCTGACATCATATAACAGGAAGCACTTCTACACTACAAATCGGAGTCACTCAAACCAACCAGCCACTCAGAAGCGAGCTGACTGCTGAGGTGGGGCCCAACTCTTGAGAACGTCTCTGTCCCCGAGCCCAGAGCTGGAACTTGAGAAGAGGTACAGACTTATCTCCAAGAAGTTGTGCACCACGTCATTTCTCTGTTATTCAGCCATTTATACTCGCCAGGGCTCCATGAAACCAGCTTGAGTTCAGTGGAAGTGTTAAGTTCTGAATCGCCGTCAATCTCGGCCACAGCATCTGCGGTGATGCTATCTGCCAAAAAATAGATGAACAGAAATTTACTTCAGGTTGCTAACTCCACCTGTTTCTGCAGTGCACTTACAGAAGCTGGCGTCCTGTTACCATTTTCAATTTCAAGCCTCTTCGGATCTCTCGGTCCTCTGTCGAAATATTGAACCAATTTCCAAGTACAATATCGAGAATTAGTGAGGGCCAGTTCTGGACGGAGACTGTGAGTGGAGAAATTTGACTCAACTAGTTTCACCTGTGTTCAACCGCAGCGGTTCAGTTTTTTTGTGATGTACCGATCGAATACAGCCTTGAGTTAAACCTTAAAAGAGGTGAAGTGTCTTCTGGATTATGCGTCATTATCATTTTGCACGAGCCCGTCGGGAGTTTGTCCATGGCTTAGTATCAGCCGTAACGCTACTTTCTCTTCAGCACTCGGCTCCCGAGAAAGATAATCATGTATTTTATCTCTTACAAAATTTTCTCCAGCCCCTGCTATTACAAGGAGCACTATCAAGAACATGTATACTACTTCCTGACATTTGGTGCCAGGTGGGATTGATGCGCCACGTCAAGACATAACTGGTTCTTCTCAGTGTATTGGCCAAGTTGGTGTACAGAAAGGCCCTAGTGCTCCAGTTTGAAATTGTATTTAACTCCGTGTCTCCTACACTGTCGTAGCTAAGATTTTCTTCTAGATCTTCCCTCCAACTCTTTCGACTCCCCTGAAAACTCTATATGTTCCATATTTCCATCACTGAAATTCAAGAAGACTTCCTACTGATGAAGGAATTTGGCTTCATGGAAATCATATCAAAAATTTTCTGGAACCTACTGCACACAGATCTTTAAAAAAATGTATACCAGAAGACGTAATTAAAAGTACATAAGCATCTTAATGACAAAAGTTACTAATTTTTCGAATGATTGAAGCAAAAAGTCTTCAGCCAATACTGCTACTCATAACACGATCATGTCAACCACATGAGAACAGTGCCGTGTACAATTCGTTTTGCCTGTACCTATACTTAGATCCAAATCGTGAAACACATGCCACTTCTGATGTGGGGTAACGTGAACAAGTACGCCGAAAAAGAAACCTACATTAGTAAGTGGACTGGACTGGACATTAGGAAAGAAACAGGTCACATATTTCTAACTACGGCCAGTACAGACGTTTGGAAGTGAGAGAGTGAAGCTCACGGTGCCCTCGAGAAGAGAACGGAGAAAGGGGAAATTGTTCATTTACTTTGCCTGCGGAATCTAGCACGATTTGCAATCGAGGGATGATGACAGATTCGATGGAAGGAAGACAATAGAATTAGCATATCATTAAATAAATTTGGATCCAAAGCATATGGTCCAGAGCAGGGTGAAAGGTTACTAAATGTTTTCAAAATGAACTTCCGAACTAGACCTCTCTATTAAGACGATTTGAAGAGCGATGCAATCTACTCAGACGACAATAAATTTGCTGTTTACGTTTTCTTGTTGATACAGGAGGATATCATATAGACTTTTAAAGTTACACAGCCACTTAAAAACAATTTTGGAATTTAAAAAAAAAACCGTAAGACTTTTAACTTTTTGGAAAGAAGCATTTCTTAATCAAGAAAGTTGTCATGTATAGACGTGCCACGATGTCCATTAGATTGCAGTTCTCCATTAATTAATAATTTTCAAAGGCCAAGTAGTTTTTGCTAAGGCAGTGTGGACATACGTAGCAAACGAATACTCTTATAGGATTCAAAAATCTCAGGAAAACCTCTTACTCTGATTTTCATATAAAGAAGATACAAGGATATATAGCACTTGGTTTGCAATGTAATCGACATAATTTTTCTAGTGATGCTGACAATGTGAGGATGTTTCGTTTATCTGTACAATCAACATTCCCGTAATATGAAACACAAATTCATATAAGGCGCGTTCTGTTGATCTCGCTGATTTCAAAAGTGATAATCACAATGACATTGGTAAGCTCAGCAGTTTATTCCTTATTATATACAAATATTTATGTGTGTCTCTCATGGCCTTAAAAGAATATTTGCAGTCTATTGATTCAATGAAAACTTGTAATGAGATATTGATAATTATGATCAATTACGGTTTAAATCAAAAGTCCATACTACTTAATTTTCAAATTATGAATTTCATTGTTGGTATTTTTACTCAGATCATAGCCAAACATCTAGTCGTACAAAACCCCTCCGGCAAAGATTTCCAATGTAGTAAGCTTGGACCAAACACCAACTACTTCAACATTTATATCACACATTATCAAGCATTATCAATCTAAGACTAGATTTCAATGTTTGTAATACTAGTATTTTGCATTTTTGTATGTAAGTTCCTTATATGCATGTACTTTCTGCAACTTTGCCAATCTTCTTTTTGTATTGTAAAATTTATCCTGAAATATTATATTTAATCCATATTATAAAAATAGATCAAATAACTTGAGAAGAAATAGTATACTATTTTTTTGATTGATTAAAGTAATTTAACTTTAAATATATGCCAAAATCTTTACAATGATATTGTGAGCAATTGACAGATTTTCATCACAGGTAAATTCAAATGTATCAGTTCAATCAGCTTCAACACATGTCGTCATAAGAATGCACATGCACAAACACATCCAACATCAAGCATATGTCGTTTGGAGTTGTAGGCTACACTCACAAAAACATCTTAGTATTCATCAAAGAATATCATCGATAGCTTTTACGAACTTTCTTGTATAGTGACAAGTTAACCAATTTCACAAACTGATATGCTAGTATACCAGTTAATGTCATTTTCACACATTTTGTGCTCCTAGAAATACAAATAGATTTGTAAAATTTTAGCTAGTTCTAAATTAGTGCAAAAGATGGAAAAAAGCATATAAAACATTGTCATGTGTTTTATTTTTGCAAGATCAAGATTCATAATAACATTGGATTGTGAAAGTCTGTTGTTTGCTTTCATGTTTTACTATCAGCAAGTACAACTCCTCATGAAATTAACTTCATAATTAAAATCTATTTATTTTTTATTTTTTTCAAAAACATGAAATAGAAAAAAAAATATTTAATGTTGTCGATTATTGTGCTATCATACTTGATGTGCATGTTGTTCTTGAGTTGTTATCTGGCCAAAAAGTTTCCTTTGTATAACATTATATGCATATATTGGAGTAAGTAATAGTTTTCATCATTGAAAATCATTGAAATTTATAGAAAACTAAAATCATGCATAAATATGCAAGATCAAATCAAATTTTTTATTTGTTGATTATTGATGGTTCAAGCTAATTTTGATTACCTTTGTCCGAGAATTATTTCAGACTTGAGACCACAATGTAGTTAATATTTTGTGTGAGTATAAGTTAGGAGGAGTAACCATAAAAAGTGTGGATGCTATGTGTGTTTACTTTAACCAGATTTGAGTGTACTATGTACTTTCAAGTTGCACTACAAACTTGAACTATGTGTTATACTAGAGTTGAGTGTAATACATACTTTCAAGTTGTAGTACTCACATACTACGTTTTACTTTTGAAAGGTTTCTTGAAAAACTCTATAGTAAAAGGTGGACAGTTCATTCCGCTTAGTCCCAACTTTTCGTTTTCTCAGGTTGACAGCTCTAGTGTTTCTGCGATTCTTTTAGGGAGTGTGTGTGTTTTGAGATTTCTTTGTTTTTCTGGATGACTTGACATTAAATGTTGCAGGTTTTGACGGAGCCAACGGGAGTAATTAGTAGAAAAAGATGCTCTTTTTCCCATACGACATCCGTTTGAGAGACAAGTGGTCTTAAGGATAGAAAAAAAAAAATAAGCATTCTCAAAAAAAATTTATTGATCATGAAACAGACAATGAGGTATGTTTCAATTTTTGTTTTAAGTCTACATTGTATGTACATAGAATGTTATGAATGCTGGAAGTTGAAAGGTTTTTCATAAGTATCAAAAGTTTACTCTCAAACAAATTTGTATAGAAAAATATACTTCTATTTATTTTTATTTATTGTTCATAAATTTCTATGAGTGTGCATTGGAAAATAAGCTATTTGTCAACCCAAATTTCACTAACAAATCATGACTAGAGAAAACTTTATGTTGTTATGAAATCCACGGGGTACAAAACTAGTAAAGAAGATCAAAATTTAGATTTCTTTATTCACAATTTTCTTCATGTGTAGATTGTTTTTAGGGGAAAAATCTTTTGAGTATTTTCATCTTATGTAATTGCCGTATCAATGTGATGAATTTTTATTGCTAGGTACCATAGGTCTGGCAATTTTTTGAGCAGCTCTTTTCTCCAGACACCGTATATTTTATTAATAATCTATATTTTATTTATCATCACATTAAGATCAAACTAATCTAGGCTAATTTTCTAACAATGTGTTCTTTAATTCATGTTTTAAAGATCATATCATACATAATCTATAAAATTTACTCTGCGTCCAGTTTGTGAAAACTTTCTAACTTTTTAAACTAGGAATTAAAAGTAAGTCGGAGCAAAAACAAAATGATGTTAGCATATATATATATAAGTGAAAAAATTGCAAAAAATTTTTCTTGGGTTTCTCATGCAAAATCTGCATAGTAGCGCAATATTCATAAAAATTTTTCAAAGAAAAAAACTTTGATAACACATCAATTGGGTTAAATTTAAAGTCAATCTTGATTGGCTACAACTTCTTATAAAGAACTATATCTTTGATATAGTAATACCTAATGTTCATGTGTTTCAATTTGTTGTACATCATTTGAAACTTAGCAAGATACAACGCAATATGAGTATCACAATGAAGATTGAATATCTACTATTATCTCCTATAATCATCCAAAGAAGAGATGTATTCAATCATATAGTATTTTTGC